AAAAAATAAGAGAGCATATTTGTTCCTTTTGTTAGAAAGATTTGGAAACAAAAAAAAAAAGAGGAGAAACAAAAAAATATTACCCTGTTCGAATGCTCCATCATTACTTTCGCCGGAGCAAAGAGAGACTCTCGTCGGTTGAAGGTAGCCCTTAAGTTCCCCTTTATTTTTCTGTGATTCAGGGTCTAGAAGGGAGCTTAGGATCCTTTTTGAGTCGGGTTTTATGGAGATTTTGTTTTAAGAGCACTAGTGGCCGGCTTGGTGAAAGAGTGAAAGAAAGAAAGTACAAGAAAAAAAGGGGGTTGAGGGCAAGAGAGAAGGGAACGACACAAGCAAAAAGAAAATGGGTTAAAATTGGGTTAGTATTATGATAATAATTGTTTAGTATTTTAGGGCTAAATTTGTGGGTTAATTAAACTCACGTGGGTGCCATTCCATCTAGGTTTGGGGTAGTGTGTTTCTACATGAGGGTTTATTGATGTAAGGTCTCCTTCCATTTTCTTTTCCTTCTATTTGGCCCCTATGTTGTGACTTTTAAACTTTTGATTTTCCTCTATGTTTTATGCGTGTTGTATTTTAGTCCTGAGCTAAGTTATTTCAAATGTTTTGCTCCTTTTACATTTAGCCTAAAATTTCGTTACTTTATATTTTTGCCCCTCGTATCCTTATTCCATTTATTGGCTGTTTTGTGTTTTGTTCATATAACTATGATATTTTCTATTTTAGTCCTTATAAGGCGTATATATAGGCATGAATATATGTCAGGTTTCCGTGTTTTTCTGTATGAAATATATACATGTCATTTTGCAAACGAAATATGGTATGAATGCTCTGCATAGCCTTATTAAGGAATTAAATATATGTATATATGTGTTAACCCTGTAACGTTGCTCACTGCTTTTCTCTCCATGTTAATAATATATATACATATTCCTTTTTTTTAATGAGATATGACATGCATGCTTTCAGTAACCCTTTATTAAGGGATTTAATATTGGCATATGTGCCATCATAATGTTTCCCATTTCTTTCCTTTCATGTTAACGTAATATATATGTATATATTAATAATGGTTTTTTTTTGTTTTAATAATTGGTTATAACTTAGTGTACGTACAAATTAATTTCTTTTGTATGTTTGTTTGCATATAAGTTTAGTCATATATTTATTCAATATGTATGATATTCTCACGAGTATTACTTGATTCAATCCAAATAATTTGACTAAGGGTAATACATTTTCATTTTAAAGTTGACGTGAGGTGGTTGTCTTAACTTATGAGAATGCTACTTCCGATAATTTTAAGATGAAAATGTATCCCGTTAAGTGAAACTCTAAAATTTGATCTCACCTAAAATTTGGGAACGAGAGAAAAAGAGATGTTCATCTATTTAAATTCATCAAGAAAAAATCATTAGAACTTATCTAAGGTTCGATCTCGACATCTTTAAATAATCGAATATCATTCTTCTTTCTAAAAGGTTTGGCAACTTCTAATTTAAATTGATTTATTTTACCATTGTTCATGCATTTTGATTCAACAATGAATTTTCCAATGAAATTTTAATATTTCTTTATTTCGATTAGAGTAAGAATTGATTGTCTGAAGGTATGAGAGGTCGTTTCTTCTTGATAGGAAATAATTAAATATTATTAGGTTTCATTTTAAAATTCATAGAGTTTTGTTTTAAGGGATCTTAAACTAAATTAAATCCGAACTTGTAGATTTCATTGCAAATACAATTAATTAATAGACTAGGTATCGATTTAAGGTGTTGTGGGGTGCTAATTATTCCTCACGCATAACTGACTCCCGAACTTGAATTTTGGTAATGCATACATCAAATTTGTTGTTTTAATTAAAATTCATATTTTTATTAAAATGACAAAATACATTTTTGGGTGTCAAATCACATCCTAATCAAATATTGGTGGCGACTTCTCAAATTATACGTTTTTTTATTTTTAAAAGGGGGAACACCAAATTTTTTGAAATAAGAGATTTTTTAAAAATCACATCACCTTTTTAATTATAAATCAATCAAGAGATAATTAAAAATGTGTTTTTTAAGTCCAAAAGAAAAAATCGTTTCAACAGTGGCGATGTTAAATCCAACACCAAAAATAAGATAAAAAAATAATATCCAAATGATCGAAAACGTATCAAAAGATATGAAAAATATAAAAACATGCTACAAAGATAAATTTATTACAAAAAAGTAGATAAAATCAAAATTAAATCTGATGTCGACGAATACAACCAAAAAAAAGCAATCCGCTAAAAAAAATTCAGGGTTGAGAGAAAAAAAAGTAAATGTTGGTATTTAATGACAAATTTAGTTATTTCTTGATCTACCGTATTTTTAATTCGCAAATTCACAACACCTTTTTGGAATCATTAATATTGTGGGTGAACTATACGTTTAGTGACCTAGCTTTTAATGTATTTTAGTTTTGGTCATTTATCTTTTAATATTTACAAATTTATCTTTAAACTTTCAAATTTTAATCATTTTGATTACTTAAGAACTTAACTAGCGATCAAAAATAATGAAAGTTTTGAAAATTAGGTGATCAAAATAAAAATATGTTGAAAGTCGTATGACAAAACATATAGTTTTCAAGACAAGGATAATTTCTTAGGAAAAAGAGTTTAAAAACACGAAAAAAATATATGGGCATTAATTACAAGCAAAAAAGGAAATAGTTAAGATTCCTTTTTTGATTAACTTATTGAAGAAAAGAGTAATGATGAGGGAATGCCAAATGTTTACTTTAAAATTTGAAAGCTGGGGGAGGGATTCAATCATTAACCCCACACCCCAATTTCAACCCTTAAACTAATAATATAAAGTAAACATTTCTTCTGCAACTGATTATGTTCTTCTTGAAAGTGACTAATCTTCCTTTCACCTTTAGAAAAGCAGCTGTCCACACAAAAATATTGTGATAGTTTTATGCCAATATAATTATATATTAATTATTTTCAAGAAACACACTAAAAGTTAGGTGATTAAACGTGTTTCCTTGTTATTTATATTTTCTAGTGTTTTTTTCTCAATTTGTTGAAGTGTACCAGGATTGCTAATGTGTCGAGTTTAATGTAAAGTCTATATTTGAAGTTTCTTATATTGGTTCAATTGTAAATTCAACTTTTTTTACTTCAAATTCCATCAATCTTGTGGTTGGCCTTATTTTTATTACTTTAACCTTCATACGGATATGAATCAATTTTTTCACTTTTTTTATTCTTTTTCTTTCATCGAGGGAAAACTTAAAAATCTGTTAAAATTTTATTTTTGTTAAATATGTTGTTGAACAGTATTTTTTAGCATCAATGAAAAAAATAAGTATTATATAAATAAAAAATAATTATAAAAATAATTATCTTTTTAAAGATTTTTATCTTGATTGATATGATCAAAGTACAAACATCATATCTTAAGATTAACATAGAATTTGTAACATATGACGTAAGGTTTTGTATAAAGAGATGAAAATATATTATCAATAAAAATAAAAATATAATATTTATAATATATAAATATTAATTTTTAAGAAAATAACCGCACCAAAACCAACCCTTTAATCTATCTATATATGAAAAAATAAAATTGATCGAAAATAATTACGAGATATAAGATCATAAAGACATATTAACATGGAACAAGTTGAACAATAGATGATAATGTACGTGTACTGATGTTAACCCGAATCAATCAATAGAGATATAATAAAAGTTTTATTTAAATATTTTTAATAGACCGTGTTCCGGGAGTACGCTCTTTCTATTACCAACAATTTTGTAGCTGTTTTTATAAAAAAAAAAAATATGCGGTGTATTTGTAAAATTTAAAGCACTAGCCATAATTATATTATTTGATAATGATTACATCTTAAAATCTATAAGTATTGACGAATCTAATTGTTGATCTCATTTTTATTCTCAGGTTTACTATTTTTTTTCCAATTTTCTTCCCTGAAAATTAAATGTTAAAAAATTAAATAGTGAATCTTTTATATTAAACTTTATGAATATTGAACTTATATTACAAAATGTGCAATATGTTAGTTAAATTTATTATATAATTTTAAATAGATGTAGACCAATTGTCATTATTTTTTTAAATTAATAATTAAGTTAAATTTTTGTAAAATATTTAATTGCAAAATTTCTCTTAAAAATTGAAATTCTTTTTTAGGATGAAAGAATAAAACAAAAATATAACGATTACTATTAATTTTTTTAAATGACATTTTTCTTGAACAAATAATAAAACAATTGAGAAATTGAGATAGGAGAAGAGTATGTATGCAGATTCATGCAAATTTATTGTATGATATGGTTAATGAAGTTTGCTGTCGGGATGTTTATTTTTCTGTTCAAGTGTCACTGTTTATCAAAATCAGTATCATACATAAAACTTTGAAATAAAAAATCACGAATAAATAAGAACGATCAATTTTCAATAATTAAGCTCTTTTCATTAAATTTATGTTTGATACGCTTGTAGTATATAATGTGAAGCATAATATGATATAAAATTATATTTGATTTTATTAAATAATAAGATATAAAATTATATTTAAAATATTTCTTATTTATTGATAATCCACATAGACCTTGCTAATGTAATTGCTCAAATTTAAGATCTTTAAAAAGAATAATTATCTCTCTAACCATTCGAGTCACTTGATGATGAGTTTTATATTAATAAATATTAAACATAATAATAAAGTATGCTATTTTTTTCATTTTAAAATTTTAAAAAATAATCAAAAATTTTAAGTAAAGATAATAAATTGATTTTTTTTTACAAATTATAGATAATCTAAATTATATTTTTAATTTTAAAGATAAATAAAATATATGTTTTTGTTGGATATTTACCGTGCTTAATATTCATACCTCTCTCTCTCTGGCAAAAGTATATATTAATTTTTTTAAAATTAAAAAAAATCAGATTTATTGGATAATAGATGCCTCAACCTTACCCGGTTCAATCAATGAAACAACAAACAAAAAGAAAACTTCTAAGAAAGCTGATAGCAGAAATCAATAGCTTTTCTTCTTCTCCTTTTCTTCCTTTCTCCGCCCTTTTTCCTGTTAACAGTAAAGCTGAAGCCAAAAGATGAATTGATTTTTTCTCGAAGCTTCAAATTCAATTCACCAGCACAACAATCTCTATCCCAATACATATAATCCATCAAAAGGATCCAACTTCAACAGCAAGCAAGCAAATGTTGGAAAAAACACCTACTGTTTCTGCACTTCCATCCTCCTCCTCTGATCTTCTCACTCTCTCTCCTTTCGAAAACGGCGCCGTCCCGAAAAGGAAAAGAAAGCCAGCCGGCACTCCAGGTATGCGCATTTACTAAACGAAACCTATAACACATACATGTAAATATACATATATATATATATAATATATATGTAATACCCTTTTTTTGGTTTTATTTTTGTTTATATTAGATCCAGAAGCAGAAGTGGTTTCATTATCCCCAAGAACACTGCTGGAATCCGACAGTTATGTGTGTGATATCTGTAACCAAGGGTTCCAACGAGACCAGAACCTTCAAATGCATCGGAGAAGGCACAAGGTGCCGTGGAAGTTGTTGAAAAGGCCGGATAATCAAGACACAGCGGTGAAGAAGAAGGTGTTCGTTTGCCCCGAGCCGAGCTGTTTGCACCACCACCCTTGCCATGCCCTCGGAGATCTGGTCGGCATAAAGAAACATTTCAGAAGGAAGCACAGCGACAACAAGCAGTGGGTTTGCTCTAAGTGCTGCAAAGGCTACGCCGTTCAGTCCGATTATAAGGCTCATCTCAAGACTTGTGGCACAAAAGGCCATTCCTGTGACTGTGGCCATGTTTTTTCCAGGTTAGTTCAAACTCCCCCCAAACAAAGCTTCTCAATCAAACCCTAAAAATACGCATAAAATTTTTCCTGATAAAGAAGCTGTAAACTCCATATTTTTGGATTTTTTTTTCCTTTTTAAAAAAGTTTTAACTGTTTAAGTATTCCTTCTATGATTGTTTTCTGGTTAGTACAAAAACATAAATTATTAAAAAATCCAAGGAATTCTCGCATCTAATACAGTTCAAGATGACCTCAATATTTCAATCTGTGAACACACAAATACCCCCGAGTCCAGACCCCAGTTCATTTTTTTGTTTAATTTAATATTTAGACTACATAAATCAATTATATATATATTCCTAAAAAACCATGAAATCATTCTTTTTGTTCTTTTTCGTTTCAGGGTGGAGACTTTCATCGAACACCAAGATATTTGCACTGTTCGACGAGTTCAACCTCAATTCCAGGCTCGAACAGCTTCAACCGCCACTCCGTCACGCGATGCAAGCTTTAGCTTATCGCCGTTGCTGGTACCGGAATCAGCTCGGGCTCTTGAACTTCAGCTTCTGCCGTCGTCGAGCACTCACTCACGGCGGAACTTAGATGAGAATTGCTCGACTCATTTAAAGCTATCCATTGGATCAAACTCGAATGAATTGAGTAGTACAGAAGCGAACAAGTGGAATGATAGTGAAGCAGAAATGTTGGAAGAAGAAGCGACTAGGTTGAAGGAGTTGGCGACGGAGCAGCTGAAGCTAGCCATGGCGGAGAAAGCCTACGCCGAGAAGGGTCGACAAGAAGCAAAACGGGAGATGGAGATGGCCGAGATTGAATTCGCGAGTGCAAAGAGGATAAAGCAACAAGCTCGAAGTGAACTGGAGAGAGCTCAAATGTTGAAAGATGAATCGACAAAGAAGATGAAATCAACGATCATGCAAATCACTTGTCAAGCATGTAAGAATAAATTCTTAACTTCCATGGCAATGGTTCCGGCTGATGAAACCTCGCTGGCTATGAGTTACATGTCGTCCGCCACAACAGAAGAGGAAGGAGAATGATCATATATAAAACCTTATTCAGCAAAGAAAATAAAGCTGAAAATGGTGGATGTTTAGCACTTGAATCTCTTCGTTTTTTTAATCTGCATGTTGAGTTTTCTTCTTCTTTAATTTCGGGTTCTTGTAAACTGTTCCTATAAACTGTCCCTGAATTGATTTTAACTGGGAAAAAAAGTAGACGATGCAATTTAATGGAATGAAGTGAAATGATTCTGAGATAACAAACAATGATCACGCGTTGGGATTCTCTCAATCTTTCTGCAAAGCGGTACCATGTGAATTTTTTCAGCATCTTGAAATTTTTTTAGCTTCATAATTAGCTGTTTTGGTATCTAAAAGCTACACTGAATTCTGAATAATTGAGTTGAAGCTCGAAACTAATTTTATTACGTGGAATTATGGGACTGAACAGTAGTTGCTTCCTCATCAAATTCATATGGGATTGAACAGTAGCTTAACTTCATCTTCAAATTTATATTTTTATATTTATGATTCTTACTCCTAACAACATCATTTTTAAAACTTGTTCTCAATATCATAACACCAAATATATCTAATAATGGATTATCATTAACATGGAAAGATACACACAAGACATGCACAGTATAAGATTAATATAGAAACAAGACACGCACGAAAGATAAATTTTAATATGATTTATCCTTATTTATCTTTACGAACGAATGCAAATACATAATATTTTATATATCATAACTCAGTGTGTCCTAAAAGTCTCTCCCAACATCATAACAAAATCATCTTTACAACTGGTATCCCAAAAGTTATAGAGATCCTGAAAAAAAGATTATATATCTCCAAAATCATCTTTATAACTTTAGATTAAATTCTTCAGAAAATCTAATTCTATATCACTTCTGACCTAAACTAAGTACTTATTAAATAAAATCATTTAAAAAATAATATTTAATTATAAAAATTAAAACGAAATCCATCTTAATTACAAATTAAAACTTGAGTTGATATTTAACTTTTTTTTTCTTTTGGAAAAAAAGATATGTTTGGAGTGACTAATCTAAATGAAGAAAAAATTCAAACATATGCAACTATTGGCCTCATAATTACCTCAAACTATTTAAAATAATATATTGTTATTTTTCATAAATAAGTTTTATGTTTCATATTAAGTATAGTAGTAAGGGTCTATATAAAAGAGAGATTGATTTTAAGTTAAAAATGGTTGTTTAGGCAGCAAATAATTAGGTTGAAGAGGAGTAGGTCATCTGATTGAAATAGGCATAGATGGATTATTTTGATTGAAGAGTGATTTTGAGTTTGGAATTTGCATCTATTGGGACCATTGGGGTTTTGGCTACAAAACAGGAAGGAACCATTGAATGGAGAAGGGAGACTGACATAAAATTCAATGTTAGGGGAAGGAAGGAAAAGGAATGTCGTTTTCATGGCATTTGCATCCTTTTTAAATGCCTTTATAAATCAACCCACCATGTTTTTCAGTGCCACAGTTGAAATGGTTATGTGCAGGCAAAAGTCCTTGTCAAACTCTCTCTCTCTCTCTCTCTCCCACTTTATCAGAATCAGAAGTTAAATCACAAGGTTTCAAAACATTTGAGATTTTCATTCATTTTTTTTATCATCTTTTAATTTAAACGATTGATAATAAAAATGGACCCTTGAAATTTTTGGAGTTTACCGGGAGAAAAATAAATAGGGTGGAGAGTACGGTTTTTAAACATAAAATGAATTACAATAAAAAGTTATTGAATTACGATTTTAATGATAAATAAATAATTTTTTTAGAAATTACTAATATATTGTTTAATTAAAATATTACTATAAACATGTTAATATTTGTTTTATAAGGTTTGTCTTGGTATAATAATAATTTTAATCCTCAATCTATGCAACCTATTACTAATTTAGTTCTAATTCAAAATAATTTAATAAATTTAGTCATCTTGAATTTGAGGTTAAAATTTTGTGAAGCAAATTGTAAATGGTTAAGTAAATTTAGACGTTGGTGGATCAAATTTAAGGAAATGCATGTTATAAAGGGCTTAATAGAAAGTAATTATCCTTTGTAGGGCTTAATTGTAATAATTTAGAAGCTCAATAACTCAATTGAAAGGAAATTAGTTTTTCAAGGGACCAAATTGAATTGATTCGAAGTAAGGAAACCAAATCGAGAGGAATAAGGATTGAACTGAATATGATGTAAAGTTTAGGGCCAAGTTTGTGAACATTGGAAAGTCCAAGGTCATGCTTGTTGATTTACCCCAAACTTAGTGGTATAAATATTACCTTCAAATCGGAACAAAAACTGTATTATATTTACCTCAAATTAATAAAAAAAAAAACCCTTTATGTTGATATTTTTCAACCTCCTACTTTCAATTCTACGATCCGCTCCAACTAGTTCTTACCATGCAAGTTAATTTTATATGTTTGATTTTTTTGATGTAAATTGTTACCTTAGTTTTAATTCGTAATATGTCATTACGGATACAATTACTTGTTTTTTTTTAACCTTTACCGAGTATAACTTAACTTTTAAGAATCGAGTTTAGAAGACCTAAAATATTAACTCAAATATGCTAAAGTTACTATTCTGATTTCAATGGTGCTTGACCGAACGCGTTCGATCAAGTGCGTTCGATCACTGATATAGGAAGAACTATCACTTTATATTCTAGGTACCCGTATACGCCTAATTAGATGCGTGCCTCACTCTTGTGTCAAATTTATCTATGTATTGTATATAGTGATTGTGTATATCATGCTGCCTATTCTGTTATATATATATATATATATATATATATACACATACATATAATTTATTTTCAAAATAAAAAAGTATGTATGATTTACTATATGATGTCATAGACATGAAAATAATATTACATGTGTAATAACCCATTTTGTTTGGGCTTTGTTAGTTCGAAGCCCAAAAATAAAAAAATATATATAATAATAATAATAATAATTATTATTATTATAATAAAAAGAAAGTCAAACAAAAAAAGGCTTTATTCGATTATCCTCTTGAAGACAATGACTCGGTGATGGTACGAAGCTACCATCTTCTCTCTTTGTCTCGGGTTGCTTTGTCTATTCCTTCCGGTGTTGCTTCTCCCTCTACTAGAGGGGTACAGGAGGTGTGTCATTGGACTCCTGAATAAGGTTGGGTCAAACTCAATATTGATGGGGCCTGTAGGCTTGCTGATAACCATGTAACGCGTGGTGGTGTGATTCGGTGCTTTAATGGCAGGCGACAGTTTGGTTTCTCCAAGTTTATTGGAACTTGTTATGTATTGGAAGCGGAGTTGTAGGTAGCGGTGGGAATAGGCCAGGCTAGACTTTAAAAGGCCTGAGTTTGGCCTACGATAAATTTTTAAGCCTGAGCTTGGCCTATAGCCTATCAAAGATTTTTATTTTGGCTTGGCCTGACCTTTTTAAAAGCCTGACCTGACCTAATAGCCTTTTTAAAAGCATTCTTAAAGTGAGTAATAGATAACCTTTGTTATTCTTTGAAGATGGAGTTACAGTGTAATTTTTTTCGGATCCCCTATTACATTTTGTATGTTTGTGTTAAATACCCATTTACAACTGAAAAAGAATATTCCCACTTCCTTGTGTTTTGTTTTTTTTGCAGGTGGAGTGGGTGTGTTGGAGCAGTAAGATATGGGCAGCTCATTGAGAAAGGTTGAGGCGTGGGCATGAATTGTGGTTGCCAGCTAGGGAATCTGGGAGTAGAACATGGTTGTGCATGGTGTCGGGTATGGGCCTAATTAATTAAAAATGGTGCTCACACAATAAAAAGAAAAAACATGACTATAGAGAAAAGTCTACTCATAATCATGGCACATGCTTTTGGTTGCCCACTCGTGTAAGTGGGGTTTTAATAATGCTAATTTGTGAACTAATCTAGCTATCAATCTCCCCAATAATTAAAGCATTGCCTTTCGCAATTATTAAGGGAAAAATAATATAACTATATAACTATATATATATATATATATATATATATATATATATAGGCCGACCTATCAGGCTTATAAGGCTTTTTAATAAGTCTAAGCATGTTCTATTTAATTTAATAGGCTTTTAAAAAAGCCTAAGCTGATCTATTTATTAAATAGGCCAGTCCAGGCCAGGCTTTATGTAGGCCAGGTCGTAGGCCCCTGTAGGCCGGCCTGGCCTATTCCCACCCCTAGTTGTAGGGATATACCACAGACTCAAGCTGATAATTGTGTAGCTGACGTACTTTCCAAGTTGGCGTTTGATATGGATTTCATGATAACCCCGTAAAAAGTTATATTTTTTGTCTTTTTAATTAGGTTATTGATTGTGTAAAAGCTTATTTCATTGCATTTAGTTTCATTTAGGCTCGTATAGTTGCATATAGTGATGTTTTTTGCTGTAACATTTTATTTTGAAAACTAATGTTGCTTAATTGGAAAGGTTGTGCTCTTGTATTGATGTGCAAGTGAAGAATGCTAAACGAGAAGAAATAAATTGTTATAGCATTTTGGATGAGGAAACTCAAAAAAAATACCATAGCATTTTTGGACAGTGTTTCTGGGTAGAAAAAGACAAAAAGGGACGAAGATATTTTTATGAGAGTTGCCAACTGTCTATGTTTGCACGTGAATGCCCAACCTAGCTGTCCTTGTGAGGACCACATGCCAACCTAGCATACCCTTCACATGAAAAGGATGATACCTAGGGTACAAAGGGAATTTTGGCACAAAACCATAAAAAAATTCCTTTTGTATAAATAGATAAGGATGCCCTATATTTATGAAAACTTTTTGGCAGGGTGACCTAAGAGAGAAGAAGAAGGCAACTGCACACAAAGTTTCCATTTTTTCTTTTCATCTTCCTTTTCGTGGTGTCCTCCATAGCCAAGCTTCAAAAGGGGTAGAAAGCTAGGCCTTTGAGAGAAGCTAGCTAGCTAAGGCGGTTCATTGTGATTCAAGGAAGCTCACGACAACTAGAGAGTTTGGGAGTTTTCCTCTTCCCTTCTTGCTTTCATTTTATTTCTTTCGACGGGTTTTAATGGACTTGTGGATGATTTGTACCCCACCATGAACTAACTTATTTGGTGTGGGTTTATTTTAGATGTTATATTTTGTTTCGAATGAAGGGCTTATATTTTCCATGATTAAATGTTTGCTTTGTTC